AGCGAGTATCAATCCTGCAAGACACTTTCGTCATGCAACTGAAACAAAGAACATTTCGTTATTGAGCTTTGCTTACGATTATTATAACATGTTCCTATTCGAACACTGTTATCTATATATCTATCTATCTATCTATCTCTCCATCCATCCATCCATCCATCCATCCATCCATTCATCCATCCATATATATATATAATATATATATATATATATATATGAATTAAGTTTGCTGCCTAGCACCGTAAACACAATATAATCACATTTGTTTCAATACAAATTGCAGTAATTTGTTATAATCTATTTCACTTTTTAATGTTTTGAAGTTTAAGTAATAAGCCTAAACTAATACAAATAGGCCTACGACAAACGTATCCGATATATTATGGATAAATTTGCGACAACAAAGCAATTCGGTGACTGTTCAGGGCGTGTGATAGATAGCGTTAATCTGATTGGCCATCAAAATACCGTAGCTTTTTCGTTGCGTCTACAAACGCATTCTCATTGGTTCAATCCATTTAATTATCATAAAGTTTGGCCACATCGATGAAAAATGTAACATCTCGTTCGCTCAGTTGTCTAGTCAAATTCATTTTAAAGAAACTTCGATATTTTCTTGAATTTCGATAATGATACGTTTAAATTAACTAATGCTTATTTATAATGTCATATTTTCTACTGTTTTCGACATCATTTTCTACTAAAACGTAAAATTTTATACGCCACGATTACGATATCTATGGCGCCCTCTTTGTGATATGACGTCATCTCGGGTTAAAGACTCACAATTATCATAGAATTCTGACACAGGGCGGTAGTACATCATAAATATTCATGAAATATTCTAATTTAGACGACAAAGAAGTAATTTTGTCAATAAACACAATGCAAATGGTTGCCAGTTACATTTACGATTTCATATAATAAATCTGGTTTAATTAGAATTGAAACGATAGCCTCTAATATCAAATGTTTAAAAATAATACAGTAATAGATTATATGATCTTAATTTTAAATGTGATGTAATGTGAATTACTGTAAGAAAAGACTCCTTTACAGCAAAATGCTATATACTACATCGTTTCGGATATAGCATATATAATTACTGGCAATATCTTACATAAAGTAGTATAAATTCGAAATTCTTCATGAATAATAACTATTTTGATTTTATAAATGTAAAAGAAAAATCATTAAAAAAAATTGAAAAGTTATGTTTATATTTATCTTTTTGACACTGTTAGTTTATCAATGATATTTAGCAGTATAAGATGGAAATCAAGAAAATATTATATGAGTGATCACTCATTTGTGACCCGCTTTGGGTCAGTCATTATGTTGAAACGTTATGTGCATTAATTAATTATGGTTGCAAAAGCCGAGGATCGATAACGTCGTGTGAATTGCGCCATGGTAGATTACACTTGCTCGCGTGCCCATTGTCAATGGTTTTGATCGCTTGTAGAATATAATTGACAACTGCTTTTAAGCCCTACACCTGAAGAACACTTTGTTCCATCTAATTTTCATTCTTTCAAGATGATAGTTTCTTTGTTACACGGTCTTATTTACTGCTACTTTACATACACGTCTAGGTTATAGTTTTTTGAATAAAAATTTTTGTATAATGTATAATGGTGAACAAAGAGACTCCCTTGAGGAATTAATAGTTATCTTATCTCTTATCTCATCTTGGCCTAGAGAATATTTTATTATTATATATTTATCGTATGTAATTAAAATGTCTGTTAAAATGTGTAATAGTTCAGCTGCCTTTGAAGTACCATCGCCTCCATTGCCTTACATTTTTATACTTGTTATAATTTTTATAGCCACTTGTCATGGATTTGTTTATGTTTCCTTGAATTCAAATACTGGTATGTTAATATTGTAATTGAAATAAAGTTTTTTTAAAGGAAAAAAGAAAAGAAAATAGGATATATATATAGGCCTATATGCATATATATAATAGTAATACGTGTGGTATTGTTTT